AAAAGAAAAAAAGAAAGAAAAGGGTTGGGGCATCACTCCTGGGGCAGTCTCAGGGTAAGGGCGGGCTCTAGAAGTTTCCAGGTTCTGCTTTGCCCGGGTGATGAAAACAAGGCAAGGAAGGACAGGTGGCGGCCGCAGGAGGGTGGAGGTGTCCTGGGTGGCTGATGACTGAGCCTGCAGTTCTGGAGGGAGTGTTGGAAGGAATGTGGTGAGGCAACAGGTGACTTCTCCGATGTCCCACAGGTGACTCAGGGGGAGTCTCCTCCAAAGGTGTGAGACTAGCCCTTATTGCCAAATGTTGGCTGTTGTGGGTTCAGTCCCTCCTGTGGCCTGGGCCTGCTCATAGGCTGTTCTAAACGTTACCCATGTTTATCCTGAAGGCTGCAGTCACCTTTGAGGAAGGTAGGTGAAGCAGCAGCCCGGGGGTGACTTCCCAGGGTCACAAAGCCAGTCAGCCGTGCTGTCCTGGGCCCAGGTCTGCCTGCTCAAAGCCCAGGTCCTGGCTTCAGTCGTTCGCCCATCCTCACTCACACTTGCTACCCACACTCTTGCCCTGTTGGCCCTCCAGCCACCTACCCAGCCTCGGCTGCCTGCTAGAATTGTTTGTTGACTGACTGACTAATCTGCACACCCAGTAGAAGGTATTTGCCTCGGGGTGTTTTCCACTCATACCCAGACCTGAATCTGTTCTTGGTCAGAGGTTTCGTGGGCTTAAAGGTCAGGGAGCCTGCGAGGGAGTGCAGGGGAGGATAAGAAGGACAAGGCAGTCTCAGAGGAGGCTCACAGGAGACAACAAATGCTGAGGCTGACCTGCCTCACTTGGGGTCACACCTCAAGGGGGGTCAGTAAAGATGAGGCCTGGGAGGAGCTTTTCCCAAATGAAACAATAACATGGGGGGCACCAGGGAGGGATGACACGATGCCAGTTTGTCACCTGGAGGTTTGTCCTCCCCCTCCCTTCCACTGGGCAGGAAAGGGCTCCACTTAGCCACCCAGTGCCCCTGATGCCACCCCACCCCTGGCAGCCCAGGCTCTGCTATCAGGACCTTCGCAGCGCCTTGCTGCTGGATCCCAAGAACCTGCAGGCCAAGCTGCTGCTTCAGATGATGGTGGACCAGGCCCAGCAGGCCCGCCAGGACGCCGGCATCCTGGCAGTGCAGGGTCTGCTGCGGCACGCGCTGCAGTGCATCGACTCCGCCATCGAGAACAACCCTCTGGACCCCAGCCTCTTCCTCTTCCGGTACTGGGGGAGGGGTTCTAGGCCTGCCTCCCATAGACCTGCTACATGGTCTCAGTTTCCCCATTGGCCCTCTGACACTTTTCCCTGCTTCCTGCTGGGGTCACTGCCCCTGGAGGATCAGACAGCACCTTCCCAGTTACCCTGGAATCCTCCAGCCCCAGGCCTGCGGATTGGTTCCCACTGGGTGGGTCACGCTCGCTGCTCTGCTCGGGACGCACATGATTCAGGGCCAGTTAACCTCTGCATTCGAGCCTGGGTTTCCTCACCTGAAGATTGGTGTAAAACATGTGTCACCTTCATATAGAGGCAGGTAGACACCTGGCCTCCTGAAAGAAAGAGAAGCAATTTTTGAGAAATAAAACATTACCAGTGATGGGCAGGTCATCAGAGTAGCAATCGGGGGCAGGTCCACGGGACAAACCTAGAACCTGAGTTAGGGTCGCGCCACCTTCACAGGTCATGGGTCAGCAGGCCCAGGGAGGGCAGCGGTTTGCTAGACCACATGCTGGTCAGGGGGGTTTATTGTCCCTCATGGCCCTTCCTGCCACCGCCACACCCTCCCCCCAGAGGTACCATATACCGCAGGCTCCAGGAGTTTGACAGGGCCGTGGAGGACTTGCTGAAGGCACTGGACATGCTGTCTGACGACCAGGATAAAATGGTGCAGCAGGCACAGCGCCAGCTGCTGCTGACCTACAACGACTTCGCGGTGCACTGCTACAAGCAGGGCGCCTACCAGGAGGGCGTGCTGCTGCTCAACAAGGCGCTCCGCGACGAGCAGCAGGAGAAGGGCCTCTACATCAATCGCGGCGGTGAGTGGCCCCGTGCCATCCCTAAGGTGGGTTGGTGTGAGGGTGGGGGGACAGAAGGAAGCATTTGATAGCCCCAGTGTCCTGGGGACACACTTTGGGAAATGTTGCCCTAGACATCTGTCTCCTCTAGTTCTCAGATCAGGCAGGTGGGAGAAGATGCCCGGGTGCAAAGAAGACAGAGCTTCTGTGGTGTCAGCCACCAGTTTTCCTCCCTGGGGAGGGGGGGGAGCAGCTGGGCGGGCACCCCTGGGCAGGGGGTGTGTGTTCACTCAGCTCCCACCCTCGGACTCTAGATTGCTTCTTCCAGCTGGGCAACCTGGCCTTTGCAGAGGCAGACTACAAGCAGGCGCTAGCCCTGAGCCCGCAGGATGAGGGTGCCAACATGCGCATGGGCATGCTGCAGGAGAAGATGGGCTTCTGCGAAGAGAAGAGAAGGTGCCAGTCGGATCCGAGGGGGGCGGGCGTGCGTGTGGACCAGCCTGCAGGAAGCCACCTGCTGGAACTGCTTCTCTCCTAAATGTCAATTTTAGTTTTCAAGTTCCGGCGAGAAATACTTTTATTTTCTTCCTGATTATTGTCGTAATGACACTTTCATGGAAAATTTAAATAGTAACATATAACTTGAAATATGAGTTAGCATCCCCACCTCCCTCCAGCTCTGCTCCCTGCTAAGGTGAATAACTAACGAGCCTTCCAGACTTTTTCCCAGGCATATGCTAACAGTTAGTGGATTTTCTGAAATGGAAACATGTGAAACCGCTTTGTTTTTTTCTTTTTCTTTTTGTAGTGCTGGGGGTCGCCCAGGGCCGCTGTGTAGGCAGCGCTCTCCCAGGAGCCTTGTCCCCAGCCCACACTGTCTGTCCTTTGACTTTCTGTGGTGTCACTTCCTTCTCTTCCATTGTCTGCATAGTACCCCTGCTGTGGAGGTGGATAGCCGGCTTCAGAAAAACCCCTGCTGACATGCACTCAGGCTTTCAGGTTTTAATTAGAAGTAGTCCTGCAGTGAGCAAGCAGGACATAGGTTCTCATGCTAGTAAAAGCTGTAGCCTGGTTTACTGGAAATTAAGTTTTTGGGTAAAGAATGTAAACATTTAAAGTTGTTTTTTGTTTTTTAGGGAGCACCAGGGATTGAACTCAGGGGCACTCGACCACTGAGCCACATCCCCAGCCCTACTTTGTAATTTATTTAGAGACAGGTTCTCACTGAGTTGCTTAGTGCCTCACTGTTGCTGAAGCTGGCTTTGAACTCGTGATCTTCCTGCCTCAGCCTTCCAAGCTGCTGGGATTACAGGCGTGCACCCACAGTTGTTTTTTGTTTTTTGTTTTTTTTTAATGTGTATCTTTTTAGTTGTGGATGGACACAATACCTACATTTATTTATTTATTTATTTTCTTATTTATTTATGTATGGTGCTGAGGATTGAACCTGGTGCCTTACACATGTTAGGCAAGCATTCTACCACTGAGCTACAGCCCCAGCCCATCTTTAAAAGTTTTGATAGATATTATGATATTGTTCTCCAAAAACAGTGAACCAACAAAAACTTTCCTCAGGAAAAGAGTACCTTGATTTCCCCTCACCTCCCTGGCATAGGGTATTAAAGTTATTCTTCAATTCTGCTAATCCTAGGCAAAAAAGAAAAAGAAAGAAAAGAACGAAAAACTCTCTGAAAGATTATTTACTTTGCATGTTTAAATACTTTATTTACTATTGCAGGCCAGTCTCTTTCTCGGCCATTATAGCTTATCAAAAGCTTTTACCCATTTTGCTATTAAATTGCTTATTTAAGGGGCTAGGGCTGGGGCTCAGCAGTAGAGCACTTGCCCCACACAAATAAGGGGCTGGGGGTGTGGCTCAAGCGGTAGCGACCTTGCCTGGCATGCGTGCGGCCCGGGTTCGATCCTCAGCACCACATACCACCAAAGATGTTGTGTCCGCCGAGAACTAAAAAATAATAAAAAAAAACATAAACAAACAAAATAAAGGTATTGTGTCCATCTACAACTAAAAAAAATATTTAAATTGCTTATTTAGCAAAATTTTTTACTATTACAGTTCTTTGTAGGCTAAGAGAATCAGCTTATTGCCTGCTGTCTGGAAAAATAATTTGTCCTATATATTGCTTTTTCCCCCCAGGGTCTGGGTATTGATGAGACCCGGGTCCTAGAACATGCCAGGCAGACACTCTATCCCTGAGCTATGCCCCAGACTTTATATATTGCTTTTTGTTGTGGTACTTTTGCTACTCAGTAATATGGAATTAAATCATAATCAAATTAATTTTTTTAAAATTTCAGCTGCTGGGTTTATGATAGTCTCAGGAAGTTCCTTCCTATGCCAGGATCATAAAAATGTTCATTTACCCTGGAGTTTCATACCCACATCTAAGTGTTGGGCCCACCAGAGGTGTGGCTGGCAGGAGGAAGAGAGGGCACAGTGGGGGAGCAGAGCTCCTAGATTTCCCCAGCTCCTCAGTGGGGCCCAGGAGCCACCATCTCCCCTCAGAAGGTGATGCTCATGGCAGTTCGGGGCCCACTGCATCCTGCAGGCAGTTCCAGAAGGCAGAGAACCACTTCTCAGCGGCCATTCAGCACAACCCCTGTAAGGCCCAGTACTACGTGTACAGGGCCAAGAGTCGACAGCTCCTGCAGGACATCTTTGGGGCCCGTCAGGATGTTGCCACTGCCCTGCTCCTGAATCCCAAGCAACCAAAGGTGGGCTCTTGTTGGGTGAGGAGGGTGGGTGGGCTCCGGAGTCAGCACCCTGGTTGCCCTGAAGGTCCTCCTGTCCCTGAATGAAACCTGCACGGCTGGCCATGAGCAGTTAACGCTGGAGCACTCCTAAGAGTGGCTGTGTTCTGACCACTCCGACCCTGCCACTCCCTCCAGGCTTCTGCCTCCCTCCAAGCCAGAGAGTTACCGTCACCCCCATCTACAGATGCAGACCCCAAGGCTCAGAGAAGGCTCCCTTGCCCCAGTCCTGCAGCTCAGAGGTCAGACCACCTCTGTTTCGCTCCTGAAGCCCCAGCTGGCTCTCCATCAGGGCTCCCTGTGGGGGTGGTCCCTTCCTCACGTCTCCTGTCCTTCTGAGTAAAAGGGTCCCGCCCTTTAGAAACAATTCGTGAAACCCCTCTTTAGCCCTGAGAAGGGCCAGGTAGGACTTTGCAAGGCAGGGCAGCATTGGCCTTCTGCCACCTGCCCTGGCCCACACCTGGCTCTGGTCACCCCTTTCCCGCAGCTTCTCCCACTGATTACCAGCCTCTTCCCGGGCATGTCAGTGGAGGAAGTGCTTCAAAGCCAGGTGGCCCAACTGGCCAGGCTGCAGCTGATGCAGATGGGGAAGAGTGGCCCTCAGGCCAGCAACCTGGAGGGCGTTGTGGGGTAAGCTTCCAGGGCAGGGGCCAGGAGCTGAGACTGGGGACTGACTGGGGCTCAGGTTCCTCTGCCCCGCCACCTCCTAGGGTCTCCACACTAGTCTTTGGGGATGGCAGGTGGAGTCTGAGAGGCTGACCCAGGACCCTGGGGCCATGGCTTGGCAGGATGCTGAGGGAGCGGGAACTGGAGCACGAGAAGGCCAAGGCCCTGCTGCTCTCTTGGAAGTCGGACCAGCTGCTCTTGTCAGACCAGCCTTTGTTTGAGAGCTCCAAAGAGCTGGAGCCCACCCCCCAGGCACTGCAGGTAGAGCTAGCAGAGGCCCCATCGGCCAAGGAGGAGGAGGAAGCAAAGGAGAAGAAAGAGGTGAGCAGGCCCTTCACCAAGCCTGGGGCCCTGGGGTCTGGGGCTGAGGCTAGCTTCTCTGAGATGAGATTGGCACCAGCAAGGACTGTCCCTGCAGGGAGGCTGGTAAAGAGGCTGGCCTCAGAGACAGGTCTCACACACCTGGCCTGCACACACCCCACAGGTCCTGGGGGTGCCTTGGCCACTTGTGCCAGACTTTTCCTATTTTTAAATTGTTTCTGAAAACATTTTGTTGAATGCAATGTAAACAGAGAAGTGTGAAAATCATAGGTGAACAGTTGGATAAATTTTCAAAACTAAATACACCATGACACCATTTCCTAGCTCAACACAGAACACATTCCCCAGTGCCACTTTGTGCCATATCCTAAGCGCCCTTGCAACTCAGCACAACCCCCCAGGTTGCCTTGATTCTTAACACCATAGGGAGTCTCCCCTTTTCTTTGTGTAAGTGGACAAATAGCTGCCCTCCCTCTCCAGCTCCTTCCCCAGACGCTGGACAAGAGGCAGCCTGTGCCTGTGATCATTCCAAAACTTCTTCCTCTAGTCAACTGCCAACAGACATCAAGTTTATGTCCAAAGGCAACCTACCCCTAGCCCTGCTGGCACTCCCTTTTTCTAGTTTGCATTAGAACAAAGGCAGAATACAAAGCTCTTTCTGCAGAACCCCTGCCAGGTCACTGTGGGCTCCCTCCCTCAGGAAGAGGCTGAGCTGAATCTGGTAGAGCTCAGAGCCCAGGGCCTATGGGATGGACACCTGCTCCGCTGTCCTCACCATCTGCAGGTGTGACCTCAGGTAGAGGCGGCCAGCAGCCAAGGCTCTGAGGGAGGTGGAGTCAAACCCAGCTTCTCTCCTCCTCAGCTGAGTGGCTGGGCAGGTTACTTGGATGCTAGGAGCCTTGGTCTGTGAAATGGTCATAGCAGGGGACCTGTCCTCCTCTGGATGTGCCAGGTGGTCCAGACATGCCTAGAGGATGAACAGCTCCTCGGCCGTCGCTGCTGCGCCCCAGCACACAGCACTTTACAGTTACAGAGGCCTGTCTCCCACTTGAACTAACATGTTCATTTTGCAGAGAAAATGGAGGCCAGCAGCCCCTCGCAGGCCTTTCCTGGATGGCCACTCCCCTTCCTGCAGTCTCAGCCTGTGTTCCCACCCTGCCCCACCCCGGTGTCTGCGGTATCTGGGAGGAGCTCTAAGCTTGGGAGAACAATCCCCAGGGCCTGCTGGCCTTCCAGAGGGGTGGCCGCTGGCCCAAGGGCTTCCCAATCTGCAACTGCCCAGCCTGTTTTCTGCCATAGGACACCCAGGAGCTTGCCTCTCACAAGGTGACATCCCTGTCAGAAGGCTACCTCGACCAGACCTCCTCAGGTTCCATCTTCCACTGTAAGTCCCTGGGCTCCTGCTAGGCCCAGGAGAGCAAAAGAGCAGTGAGGTTAAAGGTCAGGGTGAGAAGGGATGTGAACCTGGGCCTGCTGTTGACCTTGGGCAGGGGACTCCACAGTGGGAGTAGAAGTCCCAAACTCATGGAGGGCGTGTGAAGACTCAGTGGGACAGTGTCCAGCACAGAGCAGGGACACTGGTCTCTCCATCAGGCTCTTTATGTTGCTGCTACTCCTGCCTCATCCCCTCTCAGGCCTGTCCTTTTCTCTTTCCCCCTCGGCCTGGGACTGAACCCTGTTCATATCCAAGGGGCTTCAACCCGCAATTCTGCTGGGCACCAGCCTGGAAGGGACAAAAGGGAAAATCTCAGAAGGCTGCTCCAGAGCCCCTTGGCAGGAGAATGGCAGTGCTGTCTCCTTCCTGTCACTTGGGGCAATCCCCAAACCTCACCAGGTGCCCTGGCCCCGGCCTATGCCTGGCAGCAATAACAGGGATGAAGGGCACAGTCCTTTCCCTGGGCAGTGAGCCCAAGTCAACAGGTGGACACAGCCAGAAGGGAGTCAAGCAGGCCTGAGCACAGGTGGCCCTTAGAGGCCAAGACCTCAAGCAGCTGAAGGGAGCACAGCGTTGGGCGCTGGGAGGAGCGAGCAGGCGAGGGCCCTGCTGGAGCAGAGGGGTCCAGGGATGGGCAGGGGCTCAAGTGGCTCATGTCACAGCCTGGCCCGCCTCAGAGCTAGGGTTGTGAGGAGGCCAGGCTGGTATGAGTGGGCAAAACTGCGGCTTTGGATGTACAAAGCCACTGGGGTTCTGGTAGGGGTCGCCGAAGCCCCTTTTTCCTCGAGCTGTCCAGGGAGGGTAAGGCGGGCCTGATGGATACTCTTGGCACTCCCTTCCCAGACAGGGTCAAGTCCACCTCAGACTCCACCATGTCCACCATCTGCCGGGGATACAGGAGCAGCCCCACCACCACCACCACACCCTCTGTCTCCTCACCACAGAAGACCCCATCCTCAGACACTGAGGTCAACGAGGACCACCTGAGCCCTGACCACAGGAAGACCCAAGCTTCCCCAGAGAGAAGGCAGAGGCCCAGCAAGGCTGAGGCCACCCAGGACCAGATCCAGAGCTCCAGCAAGACCCCAGCTGCCCAAAGTCAAAGGTGCTTCTCCAGAAAGACAGTAGCTATCCCAGAACAGAGCCAGAAGGCTGGCAGGACAGAGGCCACCCAGGGCCCAAAGCAGAGGCCCAAGACCAAGGGTACCCGGAGGCCAAGGCAGAGACTCAGAAGGACCAAGGCTGCCCGAGACCAGAGCTGGAGACCAGGCAGGGATGATGTCCCCCAGGACCAGAGCTGGGGACTGATCCGAAATTCCAGCAAGATCCAGGTTTCCCAGGATGTCAGCAAAACCATGGTCACCCAGGACCAGAACGGGACACCTAGTAAGACAGAGGCTGCCCTGAGCGCAACTCAGAGCACGGGCTCCAGCTCCAGCAAGACCTACAGTACCACGGCATCGAGCACAAGGCCCAGCAAGGCCAGTTCTACCCCCAGCCCCAGCCAGGGTCCCAGCCAGGGCCCCAGCCAGGGCCCCAGCCAGGGCCCCAGCCAGGGCCCCAGCCAGGGCCCCAGCCAGGGCCCCAGCCAGGGTCCCAGCCAGGGCCCCAGCCAGGGCCCCAGCCAGGTTCCCAGCCAGGGCCCCAGCCAGGGTCCCAGCCAGGGCCCCAGTGAGACTGAAGCTGCTGAGGTCACGGTCACCGTGCTGCTCCCTGAGGAAGCTCAGTGAAACCCTTGCTTCTCGCTGGAGCAGGGACGATTCTGCCCTCACAGGCACCTGAGGCTGAGTCCTTCCAAAGCAAAAGGAACCTCGACCAGCGTTCCTTTAGTCCATGGCTACGTTTATTATACTTCTTCTCTTCTTTTAAAAAATTAAAAACGTGTAAATCCAGGCCCAGGTGGCATCTTGAGTCCCTCAACTCATGGAAACTGTTAAGTCCCAGCCTGAGCTGTGATACTGGGGTCACAGACTGTAGAGTGAGGTGGGGTACAGTGCCAGGGCCAGGGGTGTGGGTAACAGACCCAGAAAGGACGACAGCCATGAACCTTGATCCCTGAGTTACATTCACATTAAGAAGGCTCAGGCTGCAGGAGAAAGTCAGGGCTCAGTGAGGTTCCAGGGTGACCGTGAGCAGAGGCCAGGACGCCTCCCACCAGTTCTGAAGCCAGGCCTTTCCCGGCGTCTGTCCTTGGCCTGGCCAATACCCCTCTTCATCTTGACTGCGTGCTCTAGGGCCCACTCTCCAGCAGTCTCTGGACAAGGGTCCCTCCGGCCTTTCCTGCATGGTTGGCCAGGCAAGGATGCCATTCTGGGGTCAGAGGAAGAAGGCGATTCGAGAGGCCACTGTTTTGCAGCCATTGGACGAGAAGAGCTGCTCGTCCTCGGGGAAGTAGGTCGTGCTGTCCAACACGGCCTGCACCACCTCGTCCCGGGGCTCCAGGCCCAGCTGGGCCAGCTCGTTGAGCACACAGTGCCGCACGTGGTGCCGCTGAAGCGGGAGGAAGGGCACCACAGCGTCCAGCAGGCGCTCCTCCATGATGCCCGAGTGCCAGAAACCATCTGCAGGAAGGACACGTGCTACCTAAGAGGGAAGCCAGCCCCCAGGCAGAGAAGGGGTGTGCTGGGCCCTCTCCTTTTAGCCCCCTTCCAGACGCAGGCTCCGAGGGGTTGTGACCCATTCAGGTCGCAGACCTAGGAGTGCTGAAGCCTCTGCTGGGTCAGTGGCAGAACTTGAGACCCCAGGGAACCCGGCCCTCCCTGGCAGTCAGCCCACTGTGGCTGCGGGTGAAGCCACACGGGGCAGGGCCCGAGTAACTCACGGTGTGGGTTGTCCAGCACGGCTCGGGAGACGGCTGGCTCCAGCTCCTGCAGGCTGATCTCCTCTCGGTCCCTGCGGCTGCGCCATGCCTCCAAGGCCACCTGGTTGATCTGTTCACCACCAGTGTTGCTAAAATCATGGGGGACCCAGGCAGAGGCTCAGCCAGGGACCAGAGCCGGAGTGGGCCCTCACTTCCCTGGTGCCACCTAACAGGACCAGGGGTCAGCCGATGGAGACACTGCTCTTCCCAGCTCTCCTCTCCAGCGCGGCCATGCCGTATGCGCGCGTGTGCCATGCAACTTAGTTTACAGAACTCTGTGTCCTTAACTGACTCCCCTTCTGCAGCCTCCGGTAGGCCAAGGGGCCACCGACATGGGGACATGGGGACTGCTCAGAGAGGAGGTGGGGTCTCAGGGAAGTAACACAGTTTTGCCTGAGTTAATGGCCAGGACCTGAGGAAGAATTAGAGGATGAAAACTCCAGTCCCATTTGTCCTCCTGTCCAAAAACGAGGGACAAGTGGACGTAGCAGGGTCTCCTCAAAGAAGGGATGAGGATACAAAGACAGAAGCTGGAATAGCTTTGGGAATGTCAAAGGGGTCGTCAGCCACCTTAGATGATGTGTCACCAGCAAGAGTGGGGGGCTTTGGGACAGCCTGACTGGACCCTGGAAACAGTGTCGCCCTGGGAGCACAGGCCAAGAGCAGACAGCTGGACATGGGACAAGTGTCCTCCTGCTGTGCCCAGTACAAAACCAGCCCTACCTGATGAAGATGAAGATAGCTTTTCGATAGTTGGTTCCATATACAACCCAAGAGGGGCCCAGGAAAGGCCGCAGGACCTCCATCAGGCCTGGGGGCAGCTTGTCCATCTCATCGAAGAGGAAGAGGGAGCGGCCACAGGCAGTCAAGTTCCCCTGGACCCAGTTCTTAAGATCCTTCTACGGGGAAAAGAGGAGTTCCAGAGAGCCAGAGAGCTTCAACCCCCAACTTCTTCCCAAACCAAGAACAAAACCCCTCCCCGGGAGATATTGTCTCCCAAAGAGCACAAAACCATTCTTAAGACTGTTGGTAAAAAGAGAGCCCAGAGAGGGGCACAGACTTGCCTAAGGTCACACAGCATGTCAGTAGAACAGGGACTCAACCCAAGCCCCTGCCTCCCTGTTGAGGGCTCCTTCCATGACATCTACTCTTTTTTTTTTTTAATTATTTTGTAGTTATAAATGGACAGAGTGCCTTTATTTTGATAATTTTTATGTGGTGCTGAGGATCGAACGAAACCAGTGCCTCACTCATGCTAGGCAAGCACTCTGCCACTAAGCCCCAGCCCAGCCCACATCTACTCTTTTCTATACCAGGAGAAGCTCCTTCCCACACCCTGAACCTGAATTTTGCTCCCAAAGTGTTGGCAGCCGAGAGAGATGGACTTGGAAGGTGCCTTGCAATCAACAACAGTGGTCAGAGCCAGTGTTTACCTAGTGCTTCCTCTGAGCCACAAATTGGGGCTCAGTGCTTTACAGGGAGACGATAATGCAGACTGTCTGGCAAACACAGGTGCTCAATAAGTGATACCTGCAATTGTATAATGCTGTCCCCTTCACAGCAACTGGCTGGTAGGTACCATTACTGTTTCCCAGCCAATAAAAGAACTCCCTGCCAGACAGAATGGCACAGTCTCACGCTCTGTTCAGGATGGGTTCTGAGGGCTGAAGATCCAGCTGGCTGTGTGACCTGGGACAAGTGACTCCACTTACTGGGCTAGGACTCACTCCTCAGGGTCTGTCACCCCATGTGCAGGCCAATGGTGGTCCAAGACACATTCAGCCTACCTTGTAGCGATCGATGTTGCTGGGGTGCGGGAAGTGGATGATGGGGGAAAAGTGGTGCACGTGCGGGCTGCGAAGGCCACCCTGGAAGAGGTAGTGAGCCAAGAGAGAGCTGACATAGGACTTGCCAGTGCCTGTCCAGCCATGCAGGGAGAGAACCAGCGGTTTGGTGGGGCTGGGATCGTGCACAAAGGCCTTCAGGGACTTCACCACCAATGCCTTGGCCAGATGCTGCCCGGCCAAGTGCTGGGCCAGGTCACACTCCAGACCTAGGGTCACAGGACAGTGTCAGAACCAAGGTAGAATTTCAGGGTGGAAATCATGTCTGGGACTTGGTCTAGGGAACCCTGTGTTTGGCATGCTTGTCCCAAAGTGTGGACAGGGAATAGGGCCCTTGCGGCTGTCTGCACGGGCCACCTATCAGCCTGGCTTATCTCGGCAGCGCCCCCACCAGGCGGTTCTCCAGATTGCGCCAGCCCTAAATGAGCGGGAGCTGCCAACCCATTATGCCCAAGTCCCTGCCAATCCCCAATACAGGCTTCTCCCTGGACTGCAAGTCCACTCCATGCAGGCCTAATATGTCCCCGCAGGGGCCTTCCCGGCAACAGGCTCGCTCTCTTCATCTCGCAAACCCTCTGGGACTCTAACGGGCACCAATAACCTACGCTTCAGGTCCGTGCCACCGGCGCTCAAGTCCCCTCGGAGCCGGCCCCACTTCGGCCCTGGCCGTCCGCAGGTCTGCGGGATCCCGCCTCGGGTTCACGGATGCCCGGCCCTGAGGCAAGCTCCCTATCCACCCGCTCCTCGCTCCGGGCTCCCTGTCCCCTCACCGGGCAAGTCGGGCCGGAAGTCGCATTCGCAGAAGGAGCCTAGGTTGCAGCGCAGCGAAGCTAGGTCCCAGGAGGCAGTCGCGGCTGAGAGCAGCCCTAGCAGCCGGAGGAGCGAGCCCAAGGGCAGGCAGCCGCGCGTGGCGGCAGCCATCCGGGAGCGGCCCAAGCTCAGTCAGGGGCTGCCAACCACTCGACGTACGAACTACAGCTCCCGGCGTGCACTGCTCCGCCGCAGCCACGCCCATGGCCTACAACTCCCAGCTCCCCTCCCGCGCGTCTCAAAGGCCCGCCCCGTCGCCGCGCAGCAGGACTCCAGGGTGCCTCCAGGGGGAGCCCGCGAACCGTCCAGACCGGGTCAGCGGGCCGCGTTTCCATGGCCACGGTAACTAGGGGACCATCACGGTAGCTCAGAAAAGGATAAATAAAGGATTATGACCACAAAAGGTAACGTAACAACTATAACAAAAACTTGTGCGGAACCTTACAGCTTGCAAAGCGCCTCTTCCAACCTCTTCTTTTATATGACAAAAGAGGGTTCACTAATAATAGCTTTTGGTGAGCAACATTATGTGCCATTAGCTTCAGGTGCCATACACATGCTATAATATAATAGTATCTGCTATACATGGAAATGGTGATGTTTCTCTTTTAATTTTTTTTTTAGTTGTTGATGGACCTTTATTTTTATTTATTTATTTGTATCCAATGCTAAGAATCCAACCCAGTGCCAATGCCTCACATGTAGTAGGCAAGCACTCTACCATCTAGACACAACCTCAACATGGAAATGGTGTTGTTTCAATGAGGTGCCGGAAAATAGTGTTTTGACTCAGAAAGTAATTGATAAATGATCACTGACAATCCATTATGTATGAAACATAACTGTCCCTTACCTAGCTTCCACTACATACCAAATGCTTACCATCAGTCCTAGCAGATGGGTTCTGTGATTGTCCTTGTTTTATTTTGAGGAGGAATTTGGGACCCAAGAGGTTAAACTTCTTATCCAAGTTGCCCCTGCTAATGAACAACAGAATTCAACCACCTCCGGCTTCAGCCAAAGGTGCTTTGTACCATGTCATGTGGTACCAGGTCCGACTGGTCAAATAATTCAGAGGCGAAGGAACCCAGACATCTCAAATTCGGTGAACAAGCTCCTGGGGACCCCAGGTTGGCTTGGGATCCTGTTGATCTACATTGCTTACCTTTACCTCTCCCACCTACTGGAGTGAAAGAACTGAGAGCTGTCTTTGTGGTCTAGCTTGAAGGTCCCTGCCCTACCCAGCTTAACACACACAACC